AAGGTGATCCTCCCCCCTCCCAACCACCCTTGATCCCCCTAAAAATTTATTAAAACACCCCTTTAAAAAGAATCTTAATTTGGCCATTTTAAGTGATTTTCTATTGGCACCCGCAGCATGCCACCTCTCGGGGTTCCAAACCCCATCCTCAAGGTGGGCCCTTGAGATCTTAATGGGCCAGGCCCGCGCGAGGGGTGAAAACCCTCAAACTCCCCCGGGGAGCCCAGGCTCCAGGTGCAGCCGACCCCCCAGGACCCTCAAATGCTGGATGGGAGCCTATTCTGGGGGTGACTGGGCTTCCCAGGGGGGAGGGGTAGTTTGGAAATCTTTCGTGCCTGAGGACCGAGTTGGGGACACACACACACACACACACACACAGCCTGGGGTGAGAGCGCGCAGGAGCCTCCCAGCTCTGCTGTTCCGCGAAAGAGTTTATTTAAAGCCCTGCAGCTTCGGATGCTCGTTAACCTCAGGAAGCTGGCACGGGGCCACACAATCAGCCAGGCCCCGAACCCCGAGGGTGGGGAGGCAGAGGGAGCAGAGCAGCCGCCGCCACAGGGTTAACGGCTCCTGGGGGGCTCTCGGCATCGGGGGTCTGTGGCACAGGGGGAGGGGAAGCTGCAGCCCCCAGCCCCAGCCCCCCCAACCTTTCAGGGAGTCTGGCTTGGCCCGGGGGACCCCCTCCATCTCACAGGCTCCACCCAAGCCGGCGACCACTGAGCGGGGCTGATAGCACGGCTCCCCTTCCCTATTTTTAGGAGGGCCCCTCCGCTCCTCCAAGGCACCCAGCCAGGGCAGCTTAAGAGGGGTGCTGGCATCCTGTGCTCAGGTGGGCAGGCAGGCACGCTCTTGCCCCCCCCCCGCAGGCTGGGCACCGCAGTGGGTGAATCCCCACTTTCCCAAGGGATGGCAACCGGCACGTCTTGGGCACCGAGGCGGCTGGTCGGCGGCCCTGGGCCAGCAGCGCCTGCCAAAAGATTCTCTCCCGAAGACGTGCCAACGGACCCTTCGCGCCTCAGGGGAGCTTCCGGGCACCCTGGCAGAGCCCGTGTGGTTCTTGTCCTGCTGCCAGCCCCAAATGGCAGTCTGGCAGGAAATGGCCACCAAACTCTGCTTCCTGTCTGAAGCTCGGCCACTTGCTCTGCTCTGCTGGACGGCTTCGTCCTCTCTCCCTCTCTTTTTTCTTTCAAGAAACAACAAGCCCAGATAAAACAGGAAACGTCCGTCAGCCACACTTAAACGGGCGATCTGTCGCCTCGAAACAATTCCTAAGGATGCAATCAGCAGGAAGATGGAAAGAAAAACAAGGGGGGAGGCACGATAAGGCCCAGCTTTGCCCTCCCCGCGTGACGCAGCCGGGCTGGTAGCCCAGCAGAGCCGTGTGGGCAGAGCGGGGGAAGGGAAGGGTATTTATAACTCCCCAGCCGCCTGTCCTGGGAAGTGGAAGTGACCGTCCTGCTTCCAAGAAGCGGGTCCTTTGGGAGAAGGCAGAGGAGGACACTGACGGGAGCGTCATCTACCTGCCTCAGTTTCCCCCGCAGAGGTCAAAGGGTCCTCAGGGGAAGAGGGGAGCAGACCGAGGCTGCCAAGGGACAAGGTGGCTGCGGCCGACCAGCCTCCTTGGAGCCAAGAGCAGATGGCCCGGGCTGCCCTGGGCAGAGAGCTCCGAGTTGCTTGGCGCGGCCTCTGCTCTCGGCAGAAGGGAGAAGATGGGCGAAGCAGTAGAAAACTAGGAGGGGCTTGGGGAGAGGGTGCTGGGCGTGGACCTGTCCTGGATCCCTAAAGTCTGGTTCCTTCCTCAAAGAGACGTGGCCACCACTCTGTTGCAATGGGTGGCAGGTCTCTGGGGAGGGAGGGAGGGGGCCCTGGCAGCCGCCCAACCCCGAAATGCCCCTTTGGGAGGTAGCCTCCCCGGAGGGCTATCCTCGGGGACACGTCTCTCCCCCAAATGCCAATGCTGAGTGGGGCAGCAGCCTCACCACCACTGGACGGATGTATCTTGGGCGGGTTCTTTGATCCAACAGGCAGAGCCACAGGACACCGTGAGGAATGGGCCGGACCCTAGCCTGGGCCAGGGCCAGTTCCCTGTGTGGCCCAAGGCTTGAGTAGAGGGGAGCCTCAGGTGTCCACTCAGGAGACCAGCTCTTTGGAAGGAGGTTGACCAAAGGAGCTGAAACATGGTAGGTTTTCCGTGGCTGGAGCGGGAGAGGCCACAGCATTGCTTCCTCACCAAGAATGAGCAGCCCAACAGCCCCGAACCTAGAATGGGGAGAAGGTGAAGGCCGCCCTCGCCCCCGGTTCTTGTCTTTTTCTCCTTCTTGAAGGCCTCCGTGGATCTTCTGGCCATTAAGCCAAGGAGGACTTTGCTCCAAGCAGTTGTGAGGAACCCATGGCTCCCAGGGGGAGGCTGGATTACAATGCCCATCATCCCCATGCATTAGTTCCATGACTGGGGATGGTTGGTGTCTTGTTCCATCTCCAAAGATGCAGCCCAGCCTAGAGAGCTGAGATCCAGCCTGCCCAGGGACCAGGGGAACCACCCAACTGACCAAAGGGAAAAGAGGCTCAGAATCACCAGAGGGACGGATGGACGGAGCTGAGATCCGATGCTCCCGAAGGACACCAGACTGGGGAAGGATCACTTTAGGACGGGAATGGGCCAGATCCCCAGAGGAGGAGGAGCCTCACGTGGCCGAAACAGGCTTCATGCTCAGAGGCAGCTGCAATGGCCCTTACGCCTTCCCAAAATGGCCTGACCCTGGTCAAGAGGACCCTTGACCAAGTGAAGGCAAGAGCGTCTGCACATGCTCTGGGGACAACAGGCCGCTTCCCCCTCCCACCCACCCCCGACTCACTGCACATCAGGAAAGGCCCTGGCCAGGAAAGCCACTTCCATCTGGATGGCCGGCGTGTCTTCCAGCTCCAGGATCCCAGCCAGGTGGGGCACCACGGAGTCCAGCCAGGAGGAGGAGGATTCCTGCAGGAAGGGAGGGGAGAGCAGAGCCTCAAGGGGGGTTAATTCTAGGGCGACCCTCGCTGGTCCTCGAGGAGGAGGAGGAGGGTTGCCGTGGCTCACTTGCAAGCAAACCCCCTCAGGAAGTGGCCTCTCTCCACTGACCCATGGAACCCACTCCTGGAACCAGAGTTCCCAAATACCTTTGGGAATCACAAAAGGATGGAGCTCAGAGGAGGAGAGGGACCTTCCTCTGGCCCTTCTGAGATCCCAAGAGACATCTCCACCAGCCCAGCCACCTTCTCCAGGGCACAGGATCCCCCTCCTTTTTTATTTCCAATCCCCTGGGGAGAAGGCCGTGGGGCAGGGGAACCCTGACTGCTGACGTCTACCCCTACAGGAAGGCCGTGAGCCCCCCCCTTCTCACCAGCTGAATGAAGAACTCCTGCAGCTGCTTGGCCTCGCTCCGGAGTCTCTGGGCCACTTTGGCTCTCATCTTGGAAGAAGTGCAGATGATCCGCACTCGCATCAACGGCCGGACGTACTCGATCAGCACCCGCCGGTGGACCTCCCTCACCAGCATCTGTGGGGGGCAGGGGGGGTCAGATCAGGGCTAGCAGAGGACCAGGGCTTCTGGGCCTTGGGTTAGGCCACGGCTGGGTCTGAGGAAACCACCCAGGCAGGACGAGGCGGTTTGGGGGCAGCTTGGTTTCTCTTTGGCACTGGGCACGTGAGAGGTTCTCCGCCTGCCCTCCGTGGCGTCTCGGGCACAGAGGGGAACTGACTCCCGCAGGGCACCAGCTGCTGGGAGAGGGCGGCACGTGCTCCCTCGGACCGGCCTTTGTGTGGAAGGCCAGAAGAAGCCCAGCCAGGGTGGACATGGGCCTTTCTGGACGCCCAGCCTGGCCCTGACTGCGAGCCTCTGATGGCACCGAGGGAAGGATTTGCTCGAGAGGAGGGTCTCTGGTGCCCCCGGCAGCTCCTCCCCCCCCGCTCTCACCTGGTAGGGCTCCAGCTTCATCCGCCTCAGCCTCTGGGTGTGCTCCGCGAGGAGAGCCATGATGGCGGAGAAGGCCTCGGAGTTGTTGAGCCATTTCCTCTTCATCAGCTTGTAGAAGTAGGGCTGGCGGGGGTGGGGGGGCAGGGAAGGGAGAGGATGCAGCCTTAGAGCAGGTCTGGGTTGAGGGCGGGGGCTTCCCTGGTCGAGTTTGCACTGAGCTCCAAGCAAAGCCCACTCG